TCCCGCAAGCACCCCAACCTCCTTCCCCTCTCTCGCTCCCCTGGCCCCCGCGGGTCTGCCCTCACCCTCACCACAGGCTCCCTCCTCCCCTCTGATTCCCACACGGGTCACCCAGCCCTCCCACCCCCACCCACCGGCCCTACACTGACATGACTCAGCGTTGCAGCTCTGCAGTGCGTGTTGTGCACAGCCCTGTTGCAAACGTCGTCTAATTTAACCTCCTTTGTCCTGGGAGAGAAGCATGTATGTGGCCGTCCGACCCTCTATCTAGAAAACACCCACTATGTATGGCGCCTGGGGGGGGGGGGGCGCGGACAGCTGCGTTCCGGAAAAGCCATCAGATACCAAGAGGCCACATGCACCTAGAGCAGAGAAAAACAGAAACGCGGGAGAGGACCTGTGACCTTCACCAGAGGACATCCGGGAGGCAGGAGAGGGCAGGCAGACCTTGGAGGCCTGTTGGGTGCATATCTAGGTGTCCCCCTAAAGCCTGAGGTCATGGTCGGAGCCTTTGGGAGGTGACTGGATCACGGAGGTCATAGCTGACTTGCTGTTGGGGAGAGGCCTGGCCAGAAGACCCAGATCACTGGGTGCGACCCAGTGGTTTCCCTTGCTTCCTAGCTGCGCCTTTTCACTCTGCTTCCGATTGGTCCTGCATGCGGAAGCACCTGTCCTCTGCCACGCCCTCCTCCGTGTCACGCCCTCTTCCTGCCACGCCCCTCTTCCTGCCACGCCCTCCGCCGTGACACGCCCTCCTCCCTGCCACGCCCCTCTTCCTGCAGTCCTGCTGCAGACCCCTCCACCCACGACAGGACTGAAATGTGAGCCACAATACACCTCTCTCAGGGGTACCGGGTGTTGTGTTCTAGCAATGAGAGGGTAAGACAGAATTTTGGTACCAGAGAACTGGGGTCATCGCTGGAACACTACCTACATGACCAGTAGGTCGGAAGCCTTTGGAACTGGCTCTCAAGCGGAGTTTAAGTGGTTTGGAGAAGCAGCCCTAGAATGCTGCGAGCCAAGCTTGACAGGAGATTCTGGACAGAGCTCAGAAGACTGGAATGCTGGGAAAGGGAGCAGAGAGACAGACAGACAGAACAGACTCAGGAGGTTTCCACTGGGAAGGACTCCTTTGGCACCTGAATTCCAGGCATGTGTGTTAAGCGCCGGTGTAAAAATTGTCCACATTTTGTTCATGTCCTGAGGCTTTGTGGGAGACCGAGGTTAAGGGTGGCAGGCTAATTAATCTGGAGGAGGAAATTTCAGAGCAGTCCAATGTTCACACTGTAGCATGGGTATGGTTTGCTGCTTTTTGCCAGGTGTACACTGAAAATCAGAAGCAAAAAGTCCACTTGAAAAATTATCCATTTCCCCAGAAAGGAAAGGCTTGCACAGCTAGAACAGAGGAGAGCTTGGTTGCTGAAAAGATTAGCAGTAAAAAGAAACCAAGTACTTTAAAACAGGATGACTGAAAAATGATCTGAGTACATCACAGCAACCAGCAAGACCACATCCTTCACAGGCTGGGAGTTTCAGGGTAAAAGGCTTTGCTTTGAGAAGTGGGCCCCAGGGGTACCTTGCTCTAAAAGGCCACCTGGGAATTCAGCTCACAGAGTTCCATCAGCTAGGCACTCAGAGGCCTCTGCAGTCCTGATTCAAAGAGGCCTGGCTACTGCTCCAGCTGGTGCAGGTTTTACAGGCATAAAGAATACAAGGGGTCAGGAGGCTTCTGCCCAGATTTCAGAAGAAAGCCTGGGGGACCAGGAAGCTGCACCCCGAGAGGGCAGTGCATTGAACCAAAGGTGCAGCCGAGATCCCAGAAAGTTGAAGTCGGAAACATATAGGTCATCTGGGGAAAGCCACAGGGACTGAGCAAAGCCAGCCCAACAAGAGGCCATAAGGGCTACACCACCACAATGCCGTAGGGCAGGGCCACCCAAGCCCTGTGGAATTCACATTTCTTTGTCACAACTCGCTGCCCAGTACTGGATGTGGGAATACAGATTTAGGGTTTGCCCTGCTGGGTTTTGGTCTTGTTCCATTTGTTGCTGTTCTTCCCTTTTGAAATGGAAACGTTTACCCTGTGCCACTGCGTGTTGGCGGTGTTTAACAGGGGCTCACAGCTACGAGTTTGCCTTAAACCTCAGGGAAGGCTTTGGAGTTGGCGTTTTTAGGACACTGAAACTGAGGACTTTGGTAACTCTTGGAGATGGGGCTCAATGCATTTTGCATAAAGAGGCATATGGGAGTCCTTCAGGGTCTACAGGCAGAACGTTATGGTTTCTGTCTAAAAACTCCAAAAATTGGATTTGGGGGCTTATAGCTCACACGCAGCCAGGAGGTGAGGCGGGCCCAGTGGGCGTGGCTGGGAGGTTATATCTCCTTCCCGGCCCCGCCCTTCAGCGTCCCTACTTCCTCTCCACCGTGCGGTGCGCGGCTGTCCTCTCCATGCTGTCTTGCTTTGGAGTCAGACACCTGTGGGCTAAAACGTGAGCCAAAATGAACCTCCCCTCCCTTGCACGCGGGTGTGTCAGGCGTTACAGCCAAGAAAAAGATCCCTGCCAGGATTGGGCCCCTGGGCTTCTCAGCTCCGTGGGACTCTGGGATCACGTGGGTGCACAGGCAGCTTGGGCCACCTCGAGGGGAGGGCTGGTGAAGCCACCTGTTTGGCCAGGAGGAGTCAGCGGCCCAAGTCAGAGAAGCCCCACAGCTGGGGTTCGGAGGGAGCTGACAGAGTCAGGAGGGGTGTCCAAAGGGGTTAGACCCAAGTGCCATCGAAGGGCAAAGAGGAGGGACCCACAGGTCTCATATAGTCACTGCCCTGAGACACAGCCCTATTTTGTTTTGGTTTGATTCGGTTTCTCGAGACAGGGTCTCTCTGTGTAGTTCAGGCTGTCCTCAAACTCCTGGAAGTTGTCCTGCCTCAGCCTCCCTTGTGCTGGGATTGCAGGCATGCACCACCGTGTCTGTTCTACATAGCTCTGTTTTGGTCTCAAATGGGCTGCTACGGCTTTTGAGACCCCGTGCTCCTGTTACATGGATGTCCCCAGTGACTCTAAATTATCATAGTAATATCTTTTCAAAGATATTTCAATGATTCTTGGGTACGTTTATGTAATTTTTTTTCACGAGATTAAAAAGGACCTCCTTGTCCAACTATGAGAACTGGTTTGGGATTTGAAACTGTGGCCACTGTCCTGTCCATGCCTGAGTAGGAGCGGCTATAGTGTCCGAGAAGTCTCCTTCCTGTCCCCCTGAGCGAGGTCCCTAGGTGTCTGAAGCAGGACAGTTTATGCAGCATGGATACGCTTCCCCAACAGGAGCAGAGGCCACCCCAGGTCCCCGCTCAGGTCCCCAGGTCCTGGAATGCTTGTTTTCCCACTCAGGTGTCCCCAGCCTGGGCCTCCCTGGGATCAGAGAGGAAGTGGGGGGCCCGGCCCTTCTTGGCTGTCACCTCACTATGGCACACATGGCTCTCAGTCTGGGGTGACAGGCTTGGCCAGAGAGCCTCGGGGTCCTCTGTGTATGGCTGTGCCTCCTCCTGTGAGGTAATGTCTGGCACATAGTAGGTGCTCAGGAAATTCCAGTCAGTTTGATCTGAGGGTGATTCCTTGCGTGCCTCTCTGACATTCTGCTTTCAGTTTCGGTTCTGGCCTTCTGTGGTTTGTTTTGTTTGGGACTGTAGTGAAGACTGGCCTGGAGCTCCAAAGCCCAGGCTGGCCTCGACCTCTCAGTGATCCTCCTGCCTGAGCCTCCCAAGTGCCAGGATTACAGGCATGCCCCACCACAGCGAGCTTGGGTTTTTTGTTTTTTGTTTTTTTTTTTTTTTGAGAAGGGCATCAATGTATAGCTCAGATCGGCTGTGAGCTGACTGTGTAGGCCTGGATTTTGTTTGTTCGTTGAGTTTTGATTCTGTGAGATAAGCTCTCACTATGTAGTTTAGGCTGGCCCCTAATGTGTGGTAAACCTCCTGCCTCAGCCTCCTGAGGGATTACACACTGTGCCACCCAAACTGGCTGAGGCTCTCCTGTATTCCTCGTGGGCCCCCGGAGCCTGGGGCCCTGCCTGTCTCCCTGTCCCAAGGGTGGGCGGGACAGCCTTGGGAGCACTGCAGAAGCTGGTGTTAGGCAGGGCTCTGTGAGGACTGCAGGACCTTGGGCAAGGTCATTCCATCCTGTGAGCCCACTGGGAGGAATCTTTATCTCATGGAGGGCAGCTCCGGTGAGGAACCTCTGTGCTCTAGCACAGCCCAGGAGGCACAAGGCTCTGCCTCCTTGGGTGAGGTCCAACCAGGAGGTTTAAGGAGACCTCCCAACCCCCGCTGCCGCCTCTGCATCCCAGGGGCAGCAGCAGTAGCAGGCTGGCCCTGCTCTGGGGGTGGGGAGGACCCTCACTCCTATCGTAGTCCAGACACAAGGTCAGCACGCCAGGCCAGGCTGGCTGGGTGGATGCAGCTCCTGACCAGAGACTCCCACACCCTACCGTGTCAAGGCCTTTGCCCAAATCTTTACAAGAACCGTGCAGGAGCCTGCGTCCACGTGTAGGGGTCTCGGGAGCACTCTGTGGGCACAGCCTTTTCAGGATGGACAGTGGGGGTGACTGCCTGAGGCCTTGATTGGGGAGGTCTCTGGCTCTGGTCATGGTGCTTGGTGTGGGTGTGGCTGTTGCTGTGACTGCAGTGTCCTCCACAGGGTGGAGGCAGACCTGAGTCGTGTGTCCCACGCCTGTCGGCTTCCTGTTGCCCTCCGAAGAGGGGAGAGGGCCGTGACCCCGGAGGCCAGACTGAACTTTCTATGGCAGCCTTGGGTGCGGGGGGGGGGGGGGGGGGGCGCCTTCAGCTTGTAGCCCCGCCCAAGCCACACCCCCACCGGCTCTCGTCCCGCCCCCGACCACGGTGGGCCCCGCCCAGTTCCCCCCTCCCTATGGGCCCCGCCCCGGCCGCGCCCCTCCCCTGCTGGCCCCGCCCCCAGCCCCGCCCCCGCCTGCGTTTGCGCCGGGCCGGTGCTGCGCGCGTTCCACGCTGTCGGGCTTGGCAACGATTAACCCGGCGGGGCGGCAGGCGCGCGGCCCGGGGCGAAGGCGCAGGCCCGGGGCGGGACCCCGTGTGGGGCCGCTCGGCTTCCTGTTCTCGCCCAAGTTTCTCGTAGAGCTCGCAGCGCCGGCCGGGCCGCGGTGTGGCGTGGCGTGGCGCGGCACGCGCGTGGGCGCCCGCTCGCGGTCGCCGGGTTCACCATGAGGACTCTCCGCAGGTTAAAGTTCATGAGTTCGCCCAGCCTCAGTGACTTGGGCAAGAGAGAGCCGGCCGCCGCCGCCGCGGACGAGCGGGGCACGCAGCAGCGCCGGGCCTGCGCCAACGCCACCTGGAACAGGTGAGGGGCTGGGGGGGTTCTGGAGGGGTACGAGGGGGGCGGAGGGAGCCTTCCCTTCCGGGAGGGCCGAGGAACTTCTGCGCCCCCCCGTTCCAGAGGTGGGATCGAGCTTCGGGTTAGGGGGACCCTGCTCAGATCCCCACGTCTGCGCCCCGCGCCCCTGGGACCCACGGGTATGCCAGGAAGAGCAGATGCGCCCCGGGCCCTCGGCGGGGAGCGCACTTCCTGTTCTCGGGTGGAGGCTCAGTGGGTGGGGGGCCCTCGTTCCCCTGAGTGGGCTTAGCCCTCTCTGCGGCCTCGGGGAGTGGACGGCCAAGCGTTCCTGGGAGGACCCTCCCACCCTGGGGCGATCCGGAGCCTGGGACGTGGGCAGCCCCTCCCCCAGCCCTGACCCGGGAGCCAGCTTACTTTGCGGGATTACCCCGTGCTGCCCTCAGGGGCTTTAAGGGACAGAGGAGCTGCTCCTCGGGGTCTGCGAGCTGTCCCCACCCCCACAGGCGCCAGATGCTCCACCGGCTGGGGTCTGGGCCACCGGTATCCCGCCTGCCGCTTGGACACGTGTCTTTTCTGTGTATCCACTGCTTCCCAGCAGTCTGGTGGGCACCAGGCGCCAGCTGGGCCAGCGTGTGTGCTTAGGGATGGGGCAGGACAGGGTCACACTTGTGTATCTTCTGTCCTCCAAAGTGGGGTGGGGACAGCGAGGGCCGTGGACCTTGGTTAGGGAGTCTGGCTGGCCTAAGACTTCCCAGTGTCTAGCTGTTTTTCGCCTGAAGTACTCAGAAGATAAGACGTCGTCTCCTGCTTGTATTTTGCTGTGCTTTAGTGGGAAGAGCTAGACAAACTCAGTTCAGGTCCCAGCTCTGTCCTTTCCCTGTTGTGTGTTTTCAGTGAGTCAGTGTCTCCGGTCCTCCAATTCTTTATCCATAAAATGGGCGAATAACGGCCCTAGCAGGGGCTGTAGTCCAGGTTGAATGTGGAAACACATCACACAGCCCTCAGCTTGGCTCGCAGCCTGCAGTAAGTGCTGGGTGATGCGGTTGGAGGACCGGGGTAGGTGTATACTGCAGGGGTGGAGCCCGGGAACACCTTTGCAGGTTCCCCAGCCTTCACAAAGGGCAGCTTCCTGAGCTCCCTCCAGTGTGGGCTGGACTCCTCTTGGGGGTCCCCGGAGAGAAGAGGGGGGACGACTGACTGGCCTGTCAGTGTCCCTTCTCCCAATTTGCCCCTTCCCTGGCCCAGGGAAGCCCTGCAGGGAGGAGACTCGGAGCTCCTCCACTGGGTTTTCACTTGGCTTGGTGGAAGAAACATGCAGGCCGTTCCCCACCACAGCATGCCAAGGCCTTCTCTCCAGCCCCTGAATCCCACTAACCTCCATGATGGCTCAGGCCCAGCCTGGCCCAGTGAGGAGCCCCCCCACAGCTGCAGGCCCCCCACCCGGCACACCATGCCTGCCCCACACACAGGGCTCAGTAGGCTGTACACCCTGTCTCTGAAACTGGCTGGTGCTGGCCAAGCCACAGAGCACAGTGCCTTCCCCACCACGCCCTGAGGGCAACACCAGGTCCCTGCCTGTCTGCCTGTCCCCAGGAGAACAGCTGTGTCCCTGCAGGGCCTCCTGGGAATCCCATCTTGCAGCCCCTTGTATCTGTGTCACTGCAGTTGCTCCTAGGGGGCTGAGGCAGCAAATGGCCACCGACAGACAGGGTCTCTGAAAAGCTCAACAGCAGCAGTGTCCTCCCCATCGTGGGAATCTCCCAGGGTGGGTCTGCTGGAGGGGAAGGGCATCCCCCTTCCCCGCTGCCAAACCTTGGTGTCCTTGGCTTGTGGCCGCCTCGCCCCAGCATCTGTTCCCTGCTGCCCAAGTCTGTCTTTCTCTTGTAAAGATACCAGTCTGGGTCTGCTGTCTCCATACCGGTTGTTGTCGCCTGTGCCCCCACTTCTCTCCCACCCAGGCCCGATGACTGTCTGGGGGGCATCCTTCTACCTGCCTCTTGGCCCTGGGCCCAGCCCCCCACCCCCATGTTCCCCACATAACCCGTCTGCCTATGGGGACACAGGTTGAAACCATGTAGCTCGCTCTGTTGTGAGCAGAAGGGGGCAGTCGGATAGGCATTCACCCTGACGTCTGCCACTGTGCCGGCACCACGCTGGGCGCAGGGTGTGGGTTCATCGGAGACCAGGGCGACCAGGGCTTCTGGGCCGGGGAGGAGCCAGGAAGTAAACAGGAGTCAGGTCCGAGGAGGAGCCACTGCAGGGCAGGGCCGCGGGCACTAGGAGAGGTACTGGCCACGCTGCCGCCCTGGGTGCTGCCTTCTACCCTGGGAGCGCCTGGGCTGCGGGAAGTGTGCTCGGTGGGGTGGATGCCAGGCCGGCTGCCAGCAGGGCAGACTGTAAACCAAAGCCACCCAAGTCGTTTCCGATGTGCCTGCTGCCGCTGCGCCCGGTGGGTTTGGCCCTCTTCCCAGTCTGGGCCAGGCCTGGCACTGAGGTGTGTGCCGGGGGTGCTCCCAGGGTGACAGGAGGACATGAGTCCCTGGAGGACACACCTGCCACCTGTCTGGGGTCTGCTGTCCTCTTTGGGGCTGGAAGGGGTTTCTGTCTCCCTGGCAGCCCTGGGTCACTCTTAGCTGTGTCTGACCCTGTGGATGCTGTGAAGGTCAGGTCAGGCTGTTGAGATGGGGGGACACATCCGTCCTGGGAGTGGAGGATCCCTTGGTGTCCACTGCAGGAGCTGGGCATGGGGACAGTGTGCCAGAGGGTACCAGGTAGCCTTGTGACACCTCCTAGTAGGAGTGTGCTCTCCAGCCACATCTGCCCCCATCCCCAGAGGCTCCCCAGCTGTCACCCCAGGGTACCGGGGACACCACACCACACAAGCCACTTCCACGGTGAGTGCAGCGGTCCTGGGTGGCAGGGGGGGTGTAACACCCCAGCAGCAGACACAGGGTAGGCCCCTCCTAGTCCCCTCCTCCTGCCACCATGGCTGGGCTGTCTTCAGCCTGAGGAGGAAAGGGACTGATCAGGATCCCCAGCTGACCGAAGGCCAGGGACCAGGGACACGGGTGGGCTTGTGTCCCCACTGGAGCCGGGAACAGTGGGTGTTGATGGGAAGAGCAGTCTGTATTTCGTAGCCAGTGGCCGTCTCAGGTCGGGGACAGGAGCTGGGCCTGAAGGACCTTGTCTTTACTCCCCTGGTGCACTGGGGCGCACCTTCCCGCCTTAGCCTGCATCCCCAAAACCCTCAAGATGAGCTCGATGCTCTCGTTCTGCAGATTACCCCCCTGAGGCCCAAGAGGGGCAAGCACGGCCCAGGTCCAGCCCCAAACCCAGCCTGGGGTAGGGAACAGGCTGAGCCCCTGGCAGGCAGAGTGGACGGAGCAGAGTCCCTGGGGTCCATCCCGATCCCCAGCCCCTTGCTTGCTGTTCTAGGTCAGTCAGGGACTGAGCCCTCTCCTTGGAATCAGCGGTGGCAGGGCCCCCCATCTGCAGTTGGCTGTCGGGTGCACCAGTGTGGGGGATGGCGGTTACACCTGGCAGTGCCGCAGATGCTGCCCAATTAGAGGCCTGGGCCTCAGAGGCCCCGTGTAATCACAGGTCTCCCTGAGCGCCCTGGAGGGCACCTTAGAGACAGAGCTGTGATTGGAAGTGGAGATGGAAGGGGAGCCAGGAGCTGGGGGCTCAGGCACCTTAAGAAGCTTGCAAGGCAGCGTGGGGGCCCCCCATGCCTTAACTTTAGTCAGTGAAGCTGACTTGGAGCAGGCTGCCTCTGGGCTGGCTGCAGGCCCCAGCCACACACCTGGGGCTCCCTGCCAGCCAGAACACACCTCAGTGGGGAAGGCAGGACTGTGGTGGCACAGCCAGGGGAGGACACGGCCACTCCACTGTCCACTGGTCATGTGGGCTCAGATGCCTGCTGCCAGTCGGACCCAGCTGGAGCCCCCCAGGAGGGGCTTGAAATTTCCGCCAGGCTCCTGGAGGATGAGGTCACTTCTAGCTACCTGGCCTGTTCCAGTGGGGCCTGATAGGAACAGGGCCACTCGTGGCAGAGGGCTCGCCTGGCAAGTTCTCGATCCTGGTCTGTCCCCAGCATTGAATGAGAAAAGAGATGACCAATGTCCCAGGAGGAGCCCGGCAGTGGGGTCCAGGTCAGCTTTCCAGGGGCACTGCAAAGAGGGGTCCCCAACAGGGACTGTCACCTCTGCCTGCGTCTTCCTAGGCCCAGAAGCCCTGTCCTCAGTAACATGGGCCCAGGAAGATGGGGTTCATCCCCCCACATCTCCTCACTCTGCCAACTTCCTGTGTGAGCCAGAGACACCCCAGAGAGCACCCCTCAATCAGGATGGCCACAGCAGGTGTCCCCAAGGACCTCCATCATGCCCCTTGGGGACTCAGGTGCACCCTTCCGGCCAGCAGCCTGGGTCTCTCTGCCCGCCCCCCGCCCCGGCACGCTTGGGCCATCTGTGGGTGTCCCACCCGCCGCAGGCCCTGGTCTTGAGGTTTCACTTCTCCCCAGGATGACAAGTCACATGAGGCCTGGACGCCCCGCCCCACCTTTCTAAGTGCTACATAAGGACATTCTGTCCTTGCCGGGAGTGGACTTTGGAAAGAGCATGGAGCAGCCTGGCCGGGACACCCCAGTATCTGGGATGATGGGGACACCGTGGGCCGGGGCCCCAGCTCTAGCTCTGCTGGGCAGCAGACTCGTGGCTCTGTACAAACCCAGGGCCTCTCTGAGCCTTCCTGTGTCCTCTCCCCTAGTGTCCAACATCCCCACCCAGGCTGGGGCTTAGCAGGAGGCAAGCAGGACAGGTGGGGTGCCTAGGGTGTGGCTGTTCACACCCCTCCCTGTCACACAGCCTGTGAGCTCCTGCAGGTTTTGCGAGGCCGGGGCAAGTGGGCACCACGATCACCCCAGTACTGTGTGGATGGGGACACAGAGGCCATGTGGCCACGTGGCCACATGGCTGGTGCAGGCCAGGCCTGCAGCCAGGCTGCCAGGGAGCGGGCAGTGGGGGTAGGCAGGGTGGGGTTCCCAGTAAGCCACAGACCACCTCTCCCCAGAGGAATCGGCCAGAGCAACCCCACGCGGGTGTTGGGGGGGGGAGGCTGGACGTGGGCCCTGAGGCAGAAGGAAGGCCTTGTCCAGTCTCTGATTAGGGGCTGGCGTCACCAACCAGGGTCCTTCCGGCAGGTGCCATGGGCATGCCTGGGCAGCCGGGGAAGGGCAGGTCCCCCAGAATAGCAGGACCGGAGGCTTCTGGGTGTCTCCTGCACCAGCACCTCTGGCTTCTTCCTCCCCCAGGCCTGCATGAGGCCCAATCGCTCTCAGCCCAGTTCCGTGGCAGCTGCTGTGGGACAGCTGCCTCTGCAGTGGACCTTGGATGCCCATGGGCCTCTGTGGCCTCTTTTAATCTTCGATGGGGAGTGGCTTTCCTGGGACTTGGCCCCTCGGGGACTTGGAACAGATTCCCCGCAGCACAGCCAGGAACAAGGCAGCCACCACCTGAGCCCAGCTTCATCCCTGATGCCGCTGAGATTCTGGGAAAGCAGGGGTGACTCTCCTGCCAGTGATCACCACCAGGGCAGGGCCCACCAGGGCTACATAGTCAGAGAACTAAACAGCAAGACTCTCTCAAAACACAGCAGAATAAGGCTGAGGTCAGGAGGACATGGATGTGTTGGGCAGGAGGGCCCAGTGGAGGGTTCCCAGACCCTGAAGGAGGAGGAGTCAGCCCAGGTTTGATCACAGAGTGTGGGCGGGGGCCCGGAGTCCTGGAGAGATGACCGGGACCCTCACAGCCCGGCCTGTGCTCAGGACTTGCAGGACTGTGGGGCCTTGGGGGAGGCTGCTGGCCCTAGGCGGCCTAGGCCCCAGATATGGACGCCTCTCTCTCCCCTGTTGCAGCATCCACAACGGGGTGATCGCCGTCTTCCAGCGCAAGGGGCTGCCCGACCAGGAGCTCTTCAGCCTCAACGAGGGTGTGCGGTGAGTGTGGGCCCCCGGGGTCTGGGGGCTCAGGGCCCCAGCCAGTCCGGGCCTGGCCAGGCAGCTGGAGGAAGTGGGTGTGGCGTCTCCGGGGCATTCATCCTGCCCGAGAGGAAGGACCCAGCTGCTGAAAGGCTGCCTGTCATTCCCGGAGAGGCTCCCATGGTCACAACGCCCCCCATTTCCTGTGACCTGTGGGACGGAGGGGCTGTAAAGTGGCCAGGAGGGACGAACTGCGAGCCAGGCAGCCTTTGCCCTGGCATCCCCTGTGGCACAGAGGCTGGAGCCCAGCTCGGGCGGTGGGTTTCCTAAGGAGTCTGCTGGTGTGATGACCACCCAGAGCAGTCAGGCGAGGTGGTGCACACCTGGAATCACAGTTGAGACAGGAGGATCACAAGTACAAGCCAGGAAACTTGGTGATTTAGGGAGACCCTGTATCAAAAAGGGCTGGGGACCAGCTCAGTATTAAGGGCCTGGTTCAGTCCACACCCTCCTCCCAAAAAAGCAGGAACATGAGCCTGTAATCCCAGCACTCGGAGGCTGAGGCAGGAAAGTCATTGCAAATTCTGAGACCAGCCTGGGCTGCAAAGTGAGTTCAAGGCCAGCCTGAACAAAGAGACCCCCTCACCCCCCACACAAAACAGTACTGCCAATTCCCAAGTTTCTGGGACAGACCTTGTGTGCTGCTGTCCCTTTGCTGGGCTCTGCCCTGGGCCACATTCCTCCAGGAGCCTGAGCCTGGGCGGGCCGTGGGGAAGTGTCCTGGGCGTTGTCCTGCCCTGCCCTGCCCTGCCCTGCCCGGCCTGCCCTGCTGCAGATGCTGGCTCCTCCTGCTCTGCCACCTGCTTGTATGCGGTCCCATCGCTGGGCCACTTCACTGGGCGCCTAGGACACGGCGGTTGCCACTGTGCATCCGGACCTGTGTAGGGTGTCACAGTGGACCTTGTGGTCTCAAAGGGAAATGGAGCCGTGACAGCAAAGGCTGCCCCAGAGACTGCTGCAGTGTCCACAGCTCCTGCTGCTGCGGTGCCCAGCTGGGGGTAAAGGTTCACCATGAGTCCTTGAGTCCTGAGTTCGCCCTTCGACCCTGTATCGCTCAGTGGTGTTAGCCAGGTGTCCCCCACTGTCCCCGCGGTCCCCCATGGTGTGTTGCACGTTGCCCTCAGGCACCATGGGACTCATGCCTGGCTTTTACCGGAAGGGCACTGAGGCTCCTCTGGACAGGGTGCTCCTGGTACCCTGAGTGCTATGGGTGTCGCCCTGCTCCTCTGTCAGGGACACACGGCTCCTTGCCCCTGTAGCTGCTGGGAGAGTAGGTGCAGAGTTTGCTGTGAGTGTGTACCCTCCAGTGTCCTGGTGTGAGGGCCAGGACTGCTGGGTCTCCCCACCCCCACCCCCACCCTGTGATGTTTCGGGGAGCCGCTGCCTTGTCCCACCACAGCTGCCCGGCTTCCCGTGTGCCAGGTCCCTACCCCCTCACCACCACCCATTGTCTCCGTATCTGGGCTCAGCGATGCTAGTGGGTGTGCAAATCCCTGTTGACTGCGGCACAGGTCACTCCACGGTGCCGGGGGCACTCTTGACTCGTGGGAGAAATGTGTCCCTGTCTCCTGCTCTTTGGCGCTCTGGTGGCCTCAGTGGTGAGTCAGCTTGTGTCTGGGTCTGGACCTCACCGTGAAGACCTGTACATGTGGCCATTGTGGTGCCCTTTGAGGCATGGAGTTAGGTTTTGGGGTGCTCCACTGGCCAGCTTCTTTCTTGGTCCCTTTCTTCATGCTTTGCTTGATGGTTGTTAGGGTTGGTGGTGGCCCTGGTGTCATACGCCATAATCCCCGCACTCTGAGAGCCTGAGGCGGGAGGATCACAAGTTCTGGCCCAGCCTGGAGAACCCCCAGGGGGAGCAGATCAGTCTGGGAGGCCCTAGATTCTTCTGACTCGGTGGACTTTTCCAGTGATTGTCACTGAGGGCTGGCCCTGTGACCCCCACTTCTTGGAGCCTGAGCCCTGGGTGCCAGCTGCAGAAGTGGCTTCCCTGTGCTGCATGTGCAGCTGCTCTGTGCTCCCTGTCCTCGTCCTTGTGCGACTGGGGAGCCCCACCCGTGCCTGGGGTGCTACCTGCACTGGGACTTGGGCCGGGAAAAGCGGGACTGGGTCCCCCAGCCGCCGGCTTTGCTCACAGGAGGCTCCCCTGCCCGGCTGTAGCTGCGTGCTGATCCCCTGTCCCTGCCACTCTGGGGAACAGCGCCCACTCCCCATCCCCACCTAGGGCCACTATGCCCCCGGACTCCCTGCTGGGCTTCACTGCTGGAGCCACCCCCCTTCCTTTGTTCCCAGCATGCACAGGTATGGCTGGCTCCCCCACCCCCACTCCAGCGTGGGCCAGCACAGCACCTTGCTGTCCCTGTGCCTGTGAGCGGCCTGGCTGCACAGCACAGGGCAGATTGGTTTAAGCTGCTGGCAGACACTATGGCACACGTGCCCAGGCGCGCTGCTCATCTCATTGAAAGCCCTAAAAGGTTCGCCATCAGTGGCATAAGCTCTGAGTTCTGCCTCCCTGCAGGCTGGCAGCCCCTCCGAAGGTTCTAGGAAGGATGTCACAGAGGTCTGGGTGTTTTTGAGTCAGGGTCTCTCTGTTGTCCAAACTGTGCCTGAACTCCTGGGCTCAAACAGTCCTGCCTCAACCTCCTGAGTATCAGGTAGGGCCGCAGGTGTGCAGCACCGTGCTCTGGCTGTTTGTTTGGTTTGTGTTTTGTTTTGGTTTTGAAACACTGTCTTACTGTGCAGTTCAGACTGACTGTGAACTCACTGTATGGCCCAGGCTGGCCTCTGTCTCGGCCTCCCGAGTGCTGGGATGAGAGGCACCCATCACCATACTGGCTCGGCTCTTGTTAATGCATAGATTTAGGGACCCAATTCTGGGATCCATCACTTCACCTTCGACTTTATCAGGTGCCCCCCCATGCCTCAGTTTCTCCAGCTGTGAAATGAAAGCAGTTCATGCCTTGCCTCTGTGGCTGGTGTTTGTGTATTTGGCTCCCATCCTGTATGGAGACCCGGACTCCCAGGAGGGGGACCCCAGGGTGCTGTGGGCTGCCAGGTGGAAGTGTCCCGAGCTCATGCTGAGCACAGGATCTGGAGGTGCTGCCTGCAGCCCCGAGCTCCTGTGACAGTGGGTGGCAGGGATGTCACAAGGGCTGGGTGCCAGTCACCTGGCCCAGCTCCCCGACGATGGGCTTCACTCAGGGCTTCACTCAGGCCTCACAGCCCCCAGGTCGGCGGGGATGGCTGGCCCTGGGCTAGGACCCATGTGGAGCTGCTCAGGAACGACCTCAGGGACCAGAGCATCCACTTCCGGTGTTCAGGGCAAGCTGCATTTACTGCAACTCACCCACCCCCAGTCCCACAGTGACCCAGCTCCTGGGAGCAGGAAGGGTTAACTTTGCCGTCCTCTGAGTCCAGGGGCCCGGGGCGGGGGGGGGGGGGCTGCAGAAATGGCGCTCTGAGGCTTTTACTTCCATGGGCTGCTTCTGCCTCCAAGTCGTCCTTGTGTCCAGCAAGGCCTGAGTGACTGCGTGTGTTCAGACTGTGGAACGCAGTCTTGGTGATCTGTGGGGGAATTACAATCACCCCACGATCCTTAAAAACTTGTCAGAAGATTAAAACCTGTCTTCTCTTCACCGTAAATGTACAGAGAAATTGAGAAGGTAATAAAGTGAATATTCATTTGGAACACTGTATTTAAAACATTAGAGCCAGATGAGGTGAGCATTCCTGTAATCCCAGCACTTGGGAGGCTGAGGCAGGAAGATCACTGTGAGTTAAAGACTGACCTAGGTCTTCAGTGAGACGTTTCAAAAAAAAAAAAAACATTCAGACGTGTTTTCTTGTTTAAAAACATTACCTAAGAGTCGCTCGAACACTGTTATCCTGTTCAGAGGGTTACTGCTTGCTCTTACCTATCGTTTCCTCTCTTTGAGAGTAGAACTTACTAAATTTCCAGGCGGGGCTCTAACTTGGTGTCCCTCCTGCCGCAGCCTCCTGGGAGTGCTTGGGAAAGCGTGATCACATTTTATTTCTGAGTTAGCCCTTGGCTCTCACCTTAAAGTTTTTTGGCACTGCCCTGGTGCTTCAGTGCGCCTATGCAGGTGCTGTTTTCCCTTCCGGTGCCACGTTCAGTAAATGATAAGAGCTGTTCATGGGACAGTGTTGTGAGAGCTGGCTTTGCCCAGCGCTGAGCTAAGGCGAGCCCCCCCCCCCCACCTGCGGAGAGCGCTGCTTCGCTGTCTGCAGAGCAGAATGACAGTACTTTGAACCAATCATAAATCAGCTCTGAAAGACCTACCGTGATTGGTTGGCAAGTCTTCTTGCGCTTCTGTTAGCTATGCTGTGATTGGTGGCCTGGAAGCCAGCGCTGGAAGCCTTACTTTTAAGTCCTTAGTGCTATGGGAACTGAAACTTGAACTGGGTCCCTGGCACCTGGTGTTACTCAAACCCTGTGCACTGAAATTTGTACATATCAGAAGCGTGCAAAGTGAGAAGAGCCTGCAACTCAGGACTGGCTAGAAAGTTCCGCTGGTGAAACAGCGAAGTAAAAATTAAAAGTCGTGGATAGCTTAGCAGCAGTGTCTTCAGCCTGGGCGCCCCCTTCCCCTTCACCAGGTCGAGCCGGAGCAGGTGGGGTCCCACTGCCTGTCCCTGCTCACTGTCGTCTCCCCTCCCACGCAGGCAGCTGCTGAAGACGGAGCTGGGGTCCTTCTTCACCGAGTACCTGCAGGTGGGTGGCCTTGCCAGCCAGAGTGCCCGGAGATCTGCTCCTGGTGCCGATGGTGGCCTTGGTGTCACTCACACCACGCCTCTGTCCCAGCACCCCCCGGTCTCTTCTGTGTGGCTTTTTCTTCCCTTGGGCATCGTGTTTTAAAGTGTCCCTGTCACAGTAGGTGACGTCACCACATCCCCTGCATGCGCACACACCATTCCCTTGTACAGTCGCCCCACATTTCGTTGGTCCACTGGTCCTGCATGCACATTGGGGTGGTGCCCACCCCGTGCCAGGTCCCCGTGTGGATGGGGTGACGTCAGTTAGTGCTGCAGCTCCAGCTCCCTTTGGGGTCTGCACCAGGCACATGGCCTGTTCCTCAGGGTGTCCCTGTGGCCGCCTCCCCTCTTGTGACAACCCGAGAGAGGTGCAGCTTCGAACAGGTCTAAGCTGTGCAGTCGGCCAGCGGGGCGTGGGCATTTGGGGCCCCCACAGGGCAACAACGATGCCTCACATCTGTTTTCAGAACCAGCTGCTGACCAAAGGCATGGTGATCCTTCGGGACAAGATCCGCTTCTATGAGGGTGAGTGGGCCCCAGGCAGTTGCGCTGGGTACCTCGGGCTGAGGTCACACGCAGACCCCGGGCTGGGGGGAGTTGCTCTGTCCAAGGTCTGGAAGGGCAGCAGTAGCAGGGCGAGGTCTCACCAAGCGGGACGTGGGGAGAATCCATGCCACTGTCAGGAGCCCAGGAAGGCTGTTGTTCCCGCTCAGTGCTGTGAGGCCCTTCTGTCCCGAGGATACTGACCACGGCCGGGAAGAACCCAGGATCGGAGGAGGACGAGTTGAGGGTCTAGGGCCTTGCAGGAGGGCTGGTTTAGGAATATGGTCACCCTCATATTCCTGAAGGACGGGTGGGCCCAGAGACAGCCACTTGGGGTTTCTCTCTCTTTTTTTTGGTACCAAGGATCAAACTCACAACTTCGTGCTTGCCAGGCAGGTGCTTACAACACTGAGCTAAGTCCCCAGCCCCACTTGGGGTTTCTCTTAACACAGGCGCAGCCAGTGAGGCCTTTCCAGTCCTCATTCCCAGGTGGGACAGCACGGTGGAGGCCAGCGGTGTCCACAGTGACACTGCAGGAACAGGCAAAGGCAGCTGGACCCAGGTCTGGCCCTTGCTGAGCCTGTGGTCCCTTCGACCTTGCTGCCCAGAGATCAGCAGGTGACAGGGGCAGTGTCCTGGGCCCTGGGGCTGCAGCCCAGGCGTGGGCTCCCTGCCTGCACAGGGGCCTTTGTGAAGGCCGCCGTGCTCCGCCTGTGCTGCCTCTGGGCTGCATTTTTGAGAATGCGCTGTGTTTACGCCCCCTGCTCACGGGATGCCTGGCCGATGGAGAGGTGCCAGGCACCCTGTCCCTTACCTGGCTCCTTTTCGAGCGCCCACTCAGAGCCTGGAGCTGGGATCTCAGCCCAACTCGGGGAGGCTGAGGTCCCGGGAGCGCTCAAAGCAGTGGGTCACCTGATCCTCCTGCGCCCCCGTGGACCCCAGGCAGCGCCAGCTGAGGCGGGGGTGTGACAAGTGTCAGAACACAGCATGGGCCGGAGGGGTCAGCCTCTGTAGCCCTGAGCCCTGGCACCTGGGGCAGAGCTGTCTGACTCGGCGCATTCCTGGGGTGCCCTCGCCCACCACCTGGCCCCAGTATGGGGTCCTCGGAGGCGGCCTCATGCGGCATGGTGGGGCTCCGTGCCCCCAGCGGGTCTCTGCAGGTGGCAGGGATGAAGGTGGCCTCTGGGCAGCCTTGATTGAACACCCAGGTCCTGGGATGGGCAGCGAACTCCCAGTTGGGCACCACAAAAGTCCTTTCCTCTCTGGCCTGGGTCCCTGTCACAATACTGTTGGGTGGGACACTGCATGCACAGGTACCCACTGCATGACGGGCCCTGGTGGCATCTGGGGACCTGGAGTTGGACCAGTAGAGTGGACACAGATGCAGAGCAGCCTTTGGGAAGGAGGGGTCACTTCCAGGGCTGCGTCGAGGCAGTGGCCATCAAGTGTGGTCTCTTTGGGGCCAGAAGGCCACCCAGCCTGCAGCCTGGGGCTCCTCCAGGGGACCCACAGCTCTGTGGAGCCATGTTGGGGGCAGGGCGGGGGTACCCCCTGGGGAGGGGAGGCTGGTGGCATCCCGGAAGCAGCCTGTGGTCCCCTGCCACACAGGCTGTGTGGCCAAGCCACTGTCTGGTGCCCTAGGCTCCCCTCTGGGGCCTCACTTGTGGCCACCGTGGTTGCCACCGTCCCTGGGGTCCCCCGACAGGCTGTAAGGCCCAAGCAGCTCAGACAGGGCCAGGCTTGCCTTGACGTCTGCTTCCTACAGCTTCCGCCCGTAGCTGAGGAACAGCCTGCTCAGCAGAGCGCGGCCTGGCGCGTGCCCAGGGCCACCCCACGGCCAGCAGACACTGAGCACCCTTTCTTCCCGCGGGTTGGCGGCACTGAAGGGACTCTGTGTGCAGGCGGGTTCCCCAGGGCCAGAGCATCCGCCTGCTGGGCTCCTGTGGCCACCTCCCAGGTGCGGGCCACACACGGAGTCCGGGCCACTGCATGGGGTCAGCTGGACAGGGTTCCCAGGGTGACAGTCTCCGCGGAAAGTGAGTGGGGCCAGGTCCAGGCCCCCCGCTTGGCCTCTGTTTGGAGTCAGGAAGGCAGCCAGTGGCACTCAGAGACCCTCCCGCCTTGCTCAGTGCTCCCAGGGACGCACCTGGGGCTGTTAGCTCTGTGGATTGCTCTTCCTGGTGGAGCATGGAGCCAGCTCGGGGACCTCAGCTGTCCCGAGGCCAAGGTACCTACAGGGTTTCCATGTACCCACGTTGCACCACCTGCACTGGGGGTTCATAGCCCCTCTGCAAGCCATTCCCTACAGCTGGCCTGGACGGTACCTCCAGGGAGCCCCCTGCCTCTTCACCCCTCCCTCTCCTGCTGGACACAGAGTGCTGCCCTGACCATCTGTATCCCCTCCCTGTCACCTGATGGCCTGGAAGCTGGTGGGGGTCAGTAGGGTCCCCAGTGTCCAGCAGGGAGCTGGCCAGAAAAGCTTGGATGAACAGACAGGCCGGGAGGGGCCAGCGCCTGACTCGTGGGCTTGGGTTAGGAGGGTCTAACGACGCTGGGGCAGGCTACCACCTGGATGGCATTGGACACAGCATGGGCACTCCTATGACAAAGGGGAGCTGGTCACCAGTGTCCACCAGCACCGCACCCTGAGCTCAGCGCCTCATGGCTGAGCGTCCTTGGGTCCCCAGGCCTAGGAGGTGGCCGTGTCACTGTCGAATTTCACAGCCAGGAGCACAGAGGTGTAGGACAGCTGAGAGACAGACTCGGGCCATGGACGGACGTCGGCTTTGGCAGGCACCCGTGGGCTCAATACGGGGCCCAGCTTGCCCTGGGTGTAGGAAAGGGCCGGGTCAGGAGGTGACAGTTCCTCCTCTCACAGGACAGAAACTGCTGGACTCGCTGGCAGAGACCTGGGACTTCTTCTTCAGCGACGTGCTGCCCACGCTGCAGGCCATCTTCTACCCTGTGCAGGTGCGCTGGGGGACGGGATGGCGGTGGGCCATGCCTGGGACAGGGCGTCTGGGGAGGGCTGGGCAGGGCCTGAGGGTCACCAAGAGTGTCAAGCCCACTGCCACCCTGCATCCCCAGGGCAAGGAGCCGTCAGTGCGCCAGCTGGCCTTGCTGCACTTCCGAAACGCCATCACCCTGAGCGTGAAGCTGGAGGACGCGCTGGCCCGTGCCCATGCCCGTGTGCCACCCGCCATCGTCCAGATGCTGCTGGTGCTGCAGGTGAGGGCTCAGGGCCGGGCTGGGGTGCCTCAGGCCGGGCCTGCGTGGGGCAAGTCTGTTAGGCAGAGAGGGAGAGATGGGCCGGGACACCCCAGGCCAGGCTGCGGGTGCCCGGGGCTGGGGTGTGAAGGGAACCGTGGTGGTTTTTCCAGGACCATGGGTCAGTCCCTGACGCCCTGGACACCACGCCACATGCTCACACAGTGGCTGCAGCCGTTCCATCCTGACCCAGATGGGGCGGGGGCCACAGCAGTACCTGCACCCCTATGACCTGCTGTTCCCCTCCCTGCAGAGAGCACAGTGGCTCAAGGTGCCAGCCTGTCCCCGGGTACAGGACAGTGGGGAGATGCAGTCCGGGATGCCAGGGCCCACAGGGCCAGCCCCATCCTGCTTCTCAGGCCATATGTCTTCATGAACCCCATGTATGGGATCCTTTTAGGGTCAGGTGTACAGGTCGGCCCCCGGGCCAAGGGCACCTGTGAGTGTGCCAGAGCCAGGCGGAGCTGGAGCAGGAAGTTACCGGTCACCTGGCAGCCCAGCCAAATGCCTACCCGTGTATGGAATCCCCAGGGACCTCAGCCTGGCCTGGCTGCCGGCTCACTGGCCTCCGTGTCCCTGTGTGTTTGACAAGACCTTCTACCTGGCAGCATGTGTGGGGAGAAATCCCAGGAAAATCCCCTATGGAAAGCCCCGGGGACTGGGCTGTGATGGACCCAGGAGGGTGCGTTGGTGGCCACAGCCTAGTGGTGCTGCCCCCTGGTGGTTGTTGAGCCTCTCGTGCCCAAAGTCATGGCTCCTTGACCACCCCAGCAACCCCCAGAAGAGCCCTCTAGTCCCCCAAGGGCTGCCAAACAGATGAGGTTGACCATCACAGATGACCTGTCCAGGTCCCTGCCGTGCCTGTCCCTAGCTAACCTGATCCCTGCTGTCTCAGGTCTAGAGTGGGACTGAGGTCACAACTCCTGCCCAGGGACCCCAGCACAGGACGGGACGCAGCTCACACAGGTGCTAAGTGTGGGTGGTAGGGGGTCCCAGAGGTACCTGGCCAGCTCCGGGCAGTGGCAGGGCCATTGTTAGCCACCTCGCCCCTGCAGTGCTGTGAGTAGAGATGGCCCGAGGGGTGCAGGGACCCCTCCACCACCTCCAGGCAGCCTCCTGGGCGGCAGGTGAGCCTTCTGTGAATCACAGAGCTGGTACAGGACTCCCGCACCCACCTGTACTGGACACTGGCTGTCCCCTTTCTCTGGAGTGATTGTCACTTAGCATTCTCCCCAGGGCCAGCAGCTGGCAGCCTTCAAGCCATGCCGCCTGCTTTCACTCACTGATAGCGATTATTCATTCAGCAAGCACTCGGGCTGGGACAGCACCCAGCTCAGCCCACTGCCAGGCGTACCCAGGTGGCCCAGGCAGACTCGTTTCTTAACCTCAAAGCTGGGAGGGGCTTCCGTGGTCAGCGGTATGGACAAGAGCCAGCCCAGGAGCATCAGGAGGAGGCCGAGCACAGGGAGAAGGAGCTGCCGCCTCGGGCTGTGGCATCCAGGAGCTGAGAGTGGACCGGCCCAGGCCACGCCTTCTCTGTCCTCAGTGCCCTTTGCACGGGGCATCCCAGGCCACACACGCATGGCAGCGGGCAGCGTAGAGGGCCTGCAGGGTGGGCATGGGAGGAAGCAGGGACAGGCAGGGCAGAGGTGTGGCACACACACGTGCACACACACACCACACCCCTCACTCCCTTCCAGGGTGTGCACGAAGCCCGGGGGACCACTGAAGACTACCTGCGCCTGGAGACGCTGGTGCAGAAGGTGGTGTCGCCGTACCTGGGCACCTATGGCCTCTACTCCAGCGAGGGCCCCTTCGTCCACTCCTGCATCCTGGGTAGGGGTCGCCTGGGCTCGGGGTGGGGGGGGCTGGGTCCTGCAGCAAGCCCCCAGCTGTCTGTCATTCTGGGCACTCTGGGTTGGCGTCTGGAGGGGTTGCAGGCCCACAGGTGACCACGTGGTGACACCCAAGAGCCACCAGGAGGCCCCGGTCCCCAGAGGTCACAGCCCCATGGTGTCAGTGCCTGCTCCTAACCCGGGAGCTGCATGGGGGTAGGGAGGGCACGAGGGTGGGGTGACCTGAGCAGCCCCGTGTGTCCACCCCAGCTGCCCATTGCTCCTTTGGTTCACTCCATGCCACTTGGGTGCCAGAGATGAGTCCCACACTCCCAGGCTCTGGTCCAGCAGGGGCAGTGGATATCTGAGCCTCCTCAGTGACCGGCGGGGCTGGGGGCCGGGGAGCACCCTGCCGAGGGCTATCTGCAGTACAAGGGCCATTGGGAGCCGCCAGCCCTCATCTGGAGTGGCTGCCTGTGCCCACCTGCTGCGACAGAATCCCCTTCCCCCACTGGGTGACTCAGGCAGCTCCCATAGCCCTGGCCCTGCCCATGTGACCCTGGACCCTGGCCCTCTCCTCACGGGCTGTGCTCCGTCCTGCCACCTGGTGGTCACTATGGGGAGCTGCAGGGACCCTGCAGTCCGCTGCTCCATGCTGGCCAGGCGGGCTCCCTCCACACGGAGTGACCCCCTCCCTGACTGTCCCATCCCTGCGGGACCCTTGTCCCCCACCCTCTCCTAGCCCATGCTGCCACCAGCCCTGCATCTTACCCCGTGGGTTTGTCCCCCAAGATCTGGGACAGCAGGCCTGGGAAGGCAGGAGCTGAGTCTGCCCAGGAAAGTGCCGGCCCTAAGATTCATAGTTCACATGGCGGGAAACTGAGGCACAGAGTGTTGATATCAGTGACACAGATGCCGATCTGGACCCAGGCAACCGACTCCAGGTCCCACTGCCGGCCAGGCTGAAGGTGGCAGCTGCGTCCCTGGGGAGGAGGCAGCCCATGCGCCCTCCCAGCAAAGGGGGGGACAGGGCTAGGGTGGGGGAGCCCACTGTGACCTCGTGCCTCTCCCTGCAGAGAAGCGGCTCCTGCGCCGCTCCCGCTCGGGGGACGTCCTGGCCAAGAACCCCGTGGTGCGGTCCAAGAGCTACAACACGCCTCTGCTGAACCCCGTGGCCGAGCACGAGGCCGAGGGTGCCGCGGCCGGCAGCGCCAGCATCCGCAGGCACTCGGTGTCCGAGATGACGTCCTGCCCCGAGCCCCAGGGCTTCCCCGACGCGCCCGGCCAAGGCCCCACGACGCCCCACTCGGGGCCCTGCCCCAGCAGACTGTATCCCCCGGCCCAGCCCCCGAAGCCCAGCCTGGCCCTCTGCTCCCCGCCCAGCCCCGGCCCTGAGACCCCGGTGGACCAGACCCCGGGCTCGGGGGACTCGGACTCCGAAGGCATCTTCATTGACTTTGGCAGGGGCGGCGGCTCCGCTGTGTCTGACTTGGACAGGACGGGGGGCCGGCAGAGTGCGGTGTGAGGGGCGCAGCCACAGGACCTCCTCCTGAGCCCGGCTGAGCGTGTGTCCCTGCGTGTGCGCGGGTGTGCGTGCAAGAATTTTCTACTGTCTCCGACTCTCGTCCCTCCCCCCTGGCACCCTCATCATGGCCTCGGTCACTTTATTCATCCTGTTCCCGTCCAGTGAAAGAGCGGTCACCTCAGTGTCACCAGGGGCACAGCAAGCATCTGACATGAGGACCGTTGTGCCCACCTGCCTCACGGGCAGTGCCCAGGTCTGTCACAGAGACTCCATTGGTGTCATCTGCCTGTACGGCCAGGCTGGGGGGAGCTCTGCAGCACACCGAGTCCTCCTGGGGCCCACCTGCCCTCCCTCCCTCCGCCTGAGGTGGCCGCGGGGACAGGCAGGGTAGAATAAAACTTGTCCACCCACTGGTGTCTACCTGCTCCTCGGCTGTGTGACCTGACATCCAGGGTTGCAGCTCTCCTGTCTGCAGAAGGCTGCGGCCAGCCAGCTGTCCAGCCACTTCCTGGCTTCACAGGACACTGCGGAGTGGGGGCAGGGAAGCTCTCCAGGCTGTGTGTGAGCATGTGTGCAGGGGTGTGCGGTCATGTGACTGTGATTGTCTACAAACACATGGCTGCGCAGGGACAGGCAGAGGGCTGTGTCACCCACATGTGTGTGACGGAATCTCGGAGGAGTGTGACCTAAAGCCCAGGCCTCAGCCAACGCGCTGATTACATTGCAGAGGACAAGACAGCCAGCTTTCCGGCCAGTGTCCCAGAGCCCAGGCCTCGGCACAGGTGGGGCTGCCAGGGCCCTAGAAGGAGAAGTGCAGGCCAGATTTACCCGTGGAGGGAACCAGGGCTGAAGTTCCCAGGCCAGCAGGGAACCGGGCAGCTCCAGGCTGAGCTGTGTGCCCAGTAGGTTCCGAGAGGACGCACAGGTGTGGAGAGAAGGGACAGGAGCGAGCTGGAGTGCAACGTGGCTGTGCACTGTGTCCTGTGCAGGCAGGGCAGAGGCCTCCCCTGTGAGTGGCCTTCAACACCAGGCCACCCGGGTGGCAGCTTCTGCTCCAAGGGCACTGGGCATGGGTGACACAGGCCCTCTGCCTGACCTGGACAGCAGGGCCTAGGAGGCCAGGTACAAGCTGCTGTGGTCACCAGGGAGGAGATGGCTTGGGGCCCCCAGGCACCCAGCCGGAAGTAAAACAGTTGGACGGGGCCACTTGGGGGTGGAGGGAGCAGAGGTGCCCAGGGTCCCCCCAAGTTGCAGAGAGTCCGGAAGTGGGGAGGAAGTCGGCCTTCTTGGACCTTGATTCTCAAGTTCCTTCCACAGAGCCGGGCTGGGGTTGGGCTCAGGGCACAAGACGGGGCCGCCCCCTGTGCTGTGGGTGGGTCCTTCAGCTCAGGCCTGTCCTGGAGGCAGAGCAGGGTCCTCTGGCACTGGACATGGGAGTCCCCACAGCCACAGTGTCAGATAGTGAGGGGGCGTTCGGCAGAGTCCAGCTGTGGCTGGCGGATGCTTTGCCTGCATTCTCCCCAGAGCTGACATTTGGGGTGCATGTGATGTTGCTATGTGACAGCTGAGGTTCCTACAGCTCTCCAGAGCCACCTACCTTAGGAGGCGCATTGCCTCCTGTCCCCGTGCGCCCCTCTGCAGAGCCCCAGTGGAGGGGGACCCAGCCCAGGAGGGTGCAGCGGACACCTGGGAGGAGCAGGGCCGGTGGCTGGGGCAGGAGAGCCTCCTCCAGGGACAGGACCATCACCAGCTGCTGGCAGGACCCCACAGCATGAGTGCTCCTCTAGGGGACCCTTGGCCTGTGCTTCCTGTCCTCCAGTGGTTTGATCCGCTGGCCAGTGAGTTCCAAGCCAAGGAGACAGGAGGTCTTTGAAACTGAAGCAGTTTGTCAGGTGGAGCTCTGGGCAGGGACAGAACCCTAAGTAGAAGGCAGACAAGAAGTGTGGGGGGACCTGGGGACTGGGGGATGCTTGTTACAGCAGCGTGGCCTGGCCTGGCCTGACTGCATGCGTCTCTCCCAGTACACCAGAGCCCCCAGGGGAAAGGGCTGATCTGGGACACTGCACTGTACAGACAGCATCTGGCTCAGCCAGCAGGCAGAGGCAGGCCTCCGCCAGGACTCAGAGCCGGCCGCTCTGTGACCGTGGAGGGTCACTCAGTGTCAGCCTCCTCATCTGTGGCAAGGATCTTTCCAAATACGTTGGTGTGGTTCCACTCCCTATGCAGGTGCACACGGAGCAGGGGCTGCGGGTTCCAAGCCTGAGGCCCTGCACAGGTGACAGGGAGTTTGGACCTGAAGGTGGCAATGGCTTAATAAGCACAGGTTTGCCCCCAGGACCGCAGTCTGTGCTGAGGGGTGTGTTTCCTCCCCAGGACACGACGACAGGGTGTGCTCGAGTTTGCATCTCCCAGTCAGCAGTGGGGTCCCCTCAGCTGGGCGGGGTGGAGCGGGGGACATGGTGGTGTGGATGCCAGGATGTGGGAGCAGCCCGGCTGCTTCAGAGGACCAGGCTGGTGACGCAGAGCAGGGCCTGGGGCTGTCGGCAGGTGGAGAGGCCGGCTCAGGGTACAGCCTCAGGGGACAATCTCCCTAAGTGCCCCCCGCAGGGGGATGGGCTTGTGGGGGCCTGGATGTGCAGACCCTGGCACCTGCACCTCGGCTCCCACCACAGGCGCAGGGATGGCCACCTTCCTCACCTCTACCCTGGGGACTCCCATGGAGCCCCAGGCTGCGCATGTGGCCTCCCCCACCTCCCAAGCTGGACATCACCACTGCAGATACCTCCAGGGTATGAATCCCGGACCACCTCCCGTGGGGTGGGGTGTCAGAGTCACAGGGATAGAAGGTGTCACTGTCACTGCCTGGCATCATGGCAGAGGACACTGGGCAGACCATGGGCCATCCAGACAAGTCTGGCCACCTTGGGGCAGCAGGACTGGCAAGGTGGGCGGTTCTAACAGCAGAGGCATCTGAAAGGGGGCTGGAGCTGGTGTACCCCGCCCTGACGTCAGCTGTCAGTCAAAAGGGTTTAAGCATCAGACCCCAAAGAGCTGGGAAGCATGGGATGGAAGACACTCTGATCATGCATACTAATTACCTCTAAAACAGGTCCGGGGCGCCCCTTCTGGTCCTGGCTGCACAACAGTAGAGCAAACCGTGACCCCAGGGTCTACGTCCTGGCCCACAGAGGGTGCAGCTGAAAGAGGACCTGTGGGCTCCCTTTTGGTGCAGCCTGACTGCCTCACCAGCGCAGGGGCAGGGAAACGTTGGTTTCGGGGTTTAATCAAGTTCAAGGTGGGCCAGGGCGAGCGATCTGGGGGAAAACGGCGAACCCAGACCTTGGGCCTAAGGCCTGCCTTTGCGGAGTCACCTCTCCACCCCACAACAGCTGTTCATGGGGACCTTGCGGCCCGGCCGGCCGGGGAGAACCAGCTCTCTCTCTCCATAAACGCGAGAGAGCAAAGTTAATGAAGCCCGGAATAACAGTACTCAGATGCAACACTTCCATTCTGTGTTATTATTCTTTTGCTCTCTATTGCAAAGGAGTTATTGTTATAGCAACTAAAGGAAATGACTGGCGATTGGCTACTGATTGGACAGCGCTTGGGGAAAACAGAAGAGAACCAGGGAACCCGCCGGCCTTACGGCTCCTTTCTGCCTCTGTCGGGTTTTCCTGTGAACGGCAGGCAGAATTCACCTGCCGCTCCAGCGGGAGATCACTGTGATTGCTTCACCTCATGTCTTTGAATTCCTCTAAACTACGGTGGGTGGTGGAATCCGAATCCCTGTGAGATTTTCACGGGACACAAATGCAGGGAGGGAAGCAGCGCCTGGCATCTCTGAATGCTGTAAACTATGCTGCCAGCATGCAGACTGGTCACAGCCCCACTGTCTGCATCCTTACCCAAAGTTGAGTTTTGTGCAGTTCAGGCTGGCCTTGAGCTCACTGTAGCTCAGGCTGGTCTCAAACTCGCAAAGATCCTCCTGCCTCAGCCTCCCGAGTGCTGGGATCACAGGTGTGCATCACCACTGCTGGCTACCCAAAGCCGACCTTTAAAACACAAATCCTGCCAAGTGTCCTTCCATGAGGGCCTGAGCTTACAGCAGCGATAAAGACAGATGTTCCCAAGCTCAGGGGTCAGCGCATGCGTAGCAGGTGCAAGGGCCTGGGTTCCATCCTCAGCTGCCGCTGGAGGTCAGCACAGGGCAGTAAATGATGAACACCATCAGGCCTGTGTGACACGGAGAGGCTTCCTACCCGCCTCACCAGAGGCCGAGTGCAGCAGGAATCAGACTGCTCCAAAATCTCTTGGTGGGCGGGGATACAGCTCAGCAGCACAAGTGCCTGCCTGGCAAGCGCAGGGTCCTGAGTTCGAGTCCCAGTACAAAAAAAAAAAAAAAAAAAAAAAAAAAAAAACCCAACCAAACAAACAGAGTTTCTTGGCTTCCCCACTGCCACACCTGCCTGTGCTAAGCGAGGGGAAGGCTGTGAAGGGACCCAGGCGCTGTGTCTTTACTTACGTGATACATTTTAAAATGTAAACGTCTGCCACGTTTCCTAATTGCCCCTTCTGTTTCCTGGTTATCTTTAGTCAAACTAAACACGTGGAAGGCTGTCCTGGGTTCCCCTGCCTGTCTCTGCCTCGCTCAGGGGAAACGGTGCGGCCTGGGCTCAGCCACGTACAAGTCTTCTCTTGGATATTTTTACTGTGTTGTCAGAAGACGCTAACTTGGTGATCTGGTTAACAGGGATTCTTTCGGTGGTGGGAAATAAAAATTCAAATTAGTAACACAGCACGGTGGTGCATACCTGCAATCCCAGCCCTCAGGAGGCTGAGGCAGGAGGATCGTCGCAAGTTTGAGACCAGCCTGGGCTACAAAGTGAGCTCAAGGCCAGCCTGAACTGCGTGGTGAGACCCTGTCTCAAAAAGACAAAACCAAAAACAAGTTAGTTTAAATAAAAGGGAAATTTTGGGGTGTTTTTGGCTGAGGTCCAGAGGTGAGATAGGCTTCAGGGCAGGCTTGATTAGCGTTCTGCAGGGTCACCAAGGACCCAGTTTCCTGGCCCTCTCTGCTTTACCCCAAGCCTGGACCCCGTCCTGGTGGCAGAATGGCTGCCTGTGATGGGGACCAGGACTCAGTATCCAAAACACACCCCTGGGCATTTGAGGACATAGCAGGTGGTTAGTGGGCACCCTCCAGTTTCACTGTCCCCTGCTCAGGTTCTTGGAGCCCCTGTGCCCATAGAATGGCTGCCTGTGATGGGGACCAGGACTCAGTATCCAAAACACACCCCTGGGCATTTGAGGACATAGCAGGTGGTTAGTGGGCACCCTCCAGTTTCACTGTCCCCTGCTCAGGTTCTTGGAGCCCCTGTGCCCATAGAATGGCTGCCTGTGATGGGGTCCAGGACTCAGTATCCAAAACACACCCCTGGGCATTTGAGGACATAGCAGGTGGTTAGTGGGCACCCTCCAGTTTCACTGTCCCCTGCTCAGGTTCTTGGAGCCCCTGTGCCCGAAGAAGGACATCCTTATTTCCGGGGACAAGGCCACACAGAGAGGAACTGGACAGACGGGCTAGGTCACCCCTGCATCATGATCTCTCCACCAGCACACGAGTCCTCGTCTCTTTGGGTCTGCATTTCCGAATGAAGACGGTTCCTGAATTACATAAAGCTCACCTTGACTAAATTGCTGGGCATGGGGGCGCACACACATACTCCAGCGCTCCCCAGAGTCCCTAGGGCTCCCAGGAGGCCCCACTTTCCCCAATCCAGGCAGGATCACTCTGGGCCAGCCTGCGCCCCCTAGTGACCTTGGCTGGAACCTGAGCATAGACACCGGGATGATTTATGCCATCGTGCGTTGTGATCAGATCACCCCACACCCCAGTGTCCTGGCTGCTGTCCCGGAGACCCCAGAGCTGCTGCAGCCACGCCCCTTCAGGCAGGATTTGGGGATAATGGAGCCCCCACACACACTGGGAGAAGGGGGACAGTGGCCGCTGGGGCGGGGTCTTCAGGGCCCTCCCCACCCCAGCCACTGGATGCAAAGGGCCCGGGCAGAAGTGAGAGTCACTGCCCTGAGCCCCGGGACCCCTGGAAGTGGGGAGAAGCGGTGACACTGAGTGACACTGCGGGACAATTTGAACGAGTAGCCATCAGGCCGGTGATGGACCACACACGGAGCGCGCGACAGCGCGGACCGGGCCAGCGGGAGCATGAGGCGGGAAGGGCGGCGCGGACCGCTCACCCGCGCAGAGGCCGGAGAGGCGAGGCTGGGGCCGAGTGGAAGGAGGCAGGCCCAGCCCTCTGGGGGGGAGTGGGGGACACCGGGATCCCCGTAAACCCACCTCGGATCTCCGCCCGAGCCGCTCCCGCCCCCTGGCGGCCCGGGCAGGGAGAGCGCCCCGGCAGACCCGGCCCAGCCGGCCGCGTCCTCCGGGCAGGGACAGCCGGGCCTCCGGGAAGCTCCCCGCCCCGGCCTGCATCGGGCCGCCCGTGGCACTGCCGGGCTCCTGTCTCCGTCGGTTCCGCGCCACCACGCACGGTTCCACGCGCGCCCTGGCTCGGTGCCCTCCCCGCGGGCGCAGAGCTCACCCGAGGGCCTCGCCTCACCGGGCACAGCCCGAAGGCGGGAGAACCGCTCCGCGCACCTGGCCTGGGCTTGCGGGGCGGGGCGGGGCCAGGTGCGGGGCGGGGCCAGGTGGGCGGGCGGTCCAGGTGGGCGGGCGGTCCAGGTGGGCGGGGCGGGGCCATTGAGTGCGGGCTGAGCCCGGCGAGCAGGGGTCTCCCGACCAGGTGCTGCGCTGCGGCTGGGTGAGTCGGGGTTCATGGGCGGGCTGGACTGGGTTTCGCGCGGCCGGCAGGGCCGGCTGCCCATGAAGACCCCCGCCGGCCCCGCACCTGTCCCCTCGTCCCCTCCCTTCTCTTGCACCCCTTTGTCGCCCCCTCCGGCCCGTGGCGCTCTGGGCTGGGCTGTGTCCGCCCAGGCTCTGGGGTCCCCAGTCCCTCGCCCGGGGCACTTGGATCCTCCGGTCAGAGTACGCTGGGGCCTCGGCTCTTGTAGAAGCCGACGGCTTCGTTCCGACGCAAAGATGGGGAAACTGAGGCAGGGCACGTGCCGTGCCGCTGCACACGGGGCGGGGACACTCCGCTCGCTGGGGGCCAGAGAGCCTGGTCCGCGCCTAGACCGCCGCCCCCCGGAAGCCGCCGCTTTGGAGCCGGTGCCGGCTGCTTTCGCTTTTCCCGAACCAGTGCGGGGGGAGGGGCGGATTCCTGGTTCTCAGGTGGCCCTCGGGGACGGGGACAGGGCGGGGGCGGGGCTGCCCTTCTGGCGGCGGCGCTTCCAGGTGGTCTGCAGGGCCGCGAAGGTCCCTCCGCCGGCCTGTGAAAGGCGGGGTGACGTTTGTCCAGGTGCAGACGGAAATAGCCTTGGACTGACCTCTCGGTGTCTGGGTTCCTTTGATTTGTGCTTTCTGTGAAGAGCCGGTCAGTGGCCGCCCCCCGCACCCCGCCTGGCCCCTGTCCTCTGGCCCAGAGGTTTCTGGTCTCTGTGTGGAAGAAGGGGCTTTCCGGAGGCAGGGGGCTTCCTGCAGGAGGCGCTGGGGGGTGGGGAGGAGGTCAGAGGGGAAGGGTGTGGCCCTTGGTGGCTGGAGATGGTGGACGTGCCCCTGAGTGCTCACAAGTGGGGTGTGTGGCCGTGTGGGCAGAGGCGGTCCTAGAGCCACTGAAGTGTGCCCAGCGGGCCTGTAAAGTCTGGGGACTTTGCTGTGGCATTTACTAGGCCACACCCAGCTGGTCTCCGTGCTGTGAACTTCCAGGTTAAAGGACATGAGCAGCTCGGTCCAACACCTGGGATCCCCGACACGAGCTTCTCACCGCACTAACCTCTAATCCCACTCCTGACCCCACCCTCCGGTCACCGCTGGAGAAACTGAGGCATGGGCACCCCAAGGGTGGGAAAGCCACAGAAGTGCAGAGAGCTGGTGTCACCGAGGTCATCACGCTGACTCCCAGGCAGGGACTGTCACTGCCCACTTACGGGGAGACCAAGGCGTGAGGTGCCAGCTCTCTTAGCCACAGCGTCTAACCGTCTGCACCCCACATCAGCTGCGTGTTGGGTGTCACAAGAACTGCAAATTTTCCTAAGCATAGAAAGCTGGTGTTTTCCATTTCTTTTGGATAACTAATTCCTCCTTTCGATTCTTTAATTCAACCTGGCCCCCAAGGGAGACACACTGCGGGTGTCTGGAGGCTTCCCGGCCCCCGGGGGTGCTCTGCAGGGGAGCCCTCCTGGGGATGGTCTTGAAGGAGCCTGTCAGGGAATGGACCCCAGATGGCCACCGTGCGCTGGTGTCCTGTCCCAGCCGTCTCTCCCTGGGGTCTCCTTGGAACTTGCAGTACATTCTGTCCAGTTTCCCGGCCTCTGATCCAGAGGACCTGGCTGAGTGACTCCTGATTGATTTCTGTGCTCATCACGGGCACCGTCAGCCCACACCCCTGCCCTCTGGTTGTGTGAATCTTAAGTCAGTGCTATCCGCTCTGCAGTCGGGGCTCCTCGTCCCTGGGTGGGGACGGCAGTAAACCCAGGGGATCATGGCATAAGCCAGCGTTCTCCGGTGCAAGGGCACTGGTGTGCGATGGTCAGACCTGAGGCAGTGAGCCAGGACACAGCCTGTGTCCTCCGAGTTGGGGACCAAGCCGTTCCTGTCCTTCTAGAGCAACTCTCACCTGGGGGAGGGGGGAGTGGAGCCTTGGCTCCTGCAAGGAACTGGTCTGGCGGGTGAAGGTTCCAGAAACTCCCCCAGGGACTGGACCGAGGGACTGGACCATCCCCTCCTCCCCCGCCTGGACATTAATTAAAGAGGGGACGAGGGAGGGGGTGCTGTCTGGGCTGCGGGTTTGCAGGGTTTGGTTTCCGCAGGAGGCTGAACCCCCAGTCCTGGACCCCTGGCTCATGGATGTCCCCCTTGGGCATGTGGGAAACCAAAATCTACAGCTGGGGGTGGTGATTTTATGACGGCCCAGACTTTACAGAGAGGGTTTGTTCATACGACTTTTTTTTTAATTTTGGAGAATGTCAGATATTCTCAGGGGAGCAGGATATGCAGTGCAGCCCCACAGCCTCCCCAGCCTGGGGCACCCCACTGCTCACCCCTGCAAGTTGGCCCCTGTTTTAGCGCAGTTCCCAGACCTCAGACTCTCCATGTCCTGCAGCACAAATCCCTGCTTGTGTTTGTTTTTAATTCTTCCCCCAGCTTTGTGAAGGTGTCATTGGAAAATAAAAATGGCACTGTTTACAGGCTGCCATGCGGCGGTCGGATACAAGAGGGCATGGCAAAGTGGGTGAACAAAGGGCCTCCCAGGCTGGCACCCTCTGTCTGTGTGTGTCTCTCTCAGGTTCTCCTTGTGTAGCCGTACGTTTGGAGTGTGCCTGCTTTTCCCTGTGATGTAACCTGGTGGCTTCATTCAGCCCTGGTCGAGGCTCAGGCATGAGAAGACCGGGCTGGTGCCCATTTCCTGGTTGTGTACCTGGGAGGTCCCGGCATGGGTCACAGAGGGTCTCAGAACAGCTCCGAATCCCAAGAGGCACTGGGTGGCCTGGACTCCTTGTAGGGCCTGTGGCACTTATCTTTCCAGTGACACTGGGGTAAAGTCTTCATTGGCCTGGCCTGGGTACAGCGGATCTTTCTGTAAAGCAGGGTCTGCAGGTCACAGCTGATTTGATTGGGCCCCAAGGATGTGCCTTTGGTTCCCAAAGAGGCCAGATTTGCATTCAGCCCGAATTGGAAACTGGATCTCAGTCAAGGATGAGGATAAAGTCTACCTTGGCTGGGCCCACAGGTTCTGGGCAGAAAGGACCACAGCACATGCAAAGGCACCGGGGCAGGAGCAGGGGGTGTGTCTGCAGGGCACAAGTAAAGGAACAAGGTTCCTGGAGTGCAGCAGCACCAGGCTCCACCATAGGGATTGGGTTTTGTCCCAAGAATGATAGGGAGCCCCAGATATAGAGGGTTGCTTTGGTAGGCGGCCGGGTATGGGAATAGGGAGGGGTCTGGGCCAGAGACCAGGGCTGGCTGTGCAATGGGACAAGGACACTCAGGCACGTGCTGCAGACCCAGGCTGGCAGTGACAGAGGAGAGCTACTAAGCCCAGGGGAGCCCTGTCCCCGCCTGGCAGAGGGCACCTGGGTGGCAGGACGTTCTGTAAGTAACAGACATCTGAGCTCTGGGATGGGCTGGGGAGGGTTTGGGGGTCAGGTGTGGCTTGCTCAGGGTGTGGAGAGGCCCTGCCTTCCCTGCGGCCGCTGGCTCTTCAGGGAGGCCATGCATCTGCATGCACGGCTGCGTGGACAGGCTCCTCCCCTGGACGCTCCAGAGAGCAAGATCTTCCTTCCAGATGCACCTGGAGAACTTCCTGGTGCCCCAGGGCACAAATGAACCCATCCCAGTGGCCAGGGAAACTGCCCAGTGCTGACTGGCTGGGGCTTGCGTCCCCTGATGGCCCTCGGAAACGGGCAATAGCGTCCTTCTGGCCCTGTCAGGTGGCCCTGGAGCAGTGCATGTGTGTGTGTGTGTGTGTGTGTGTGTGCCCTGTGCCTCGCAGGGGTGAGGTGCCCACTGGAGCAAGTACCTAGGGATGAGGACCCTGGAGGGTGGGCACTGGTCCTCGCACCCGCAGAGGCTGGGCAGAAGCCCAGGTGGTGACATTGGTCTTTCTCAGCCACAGGAGAGCCAGTGGCTCTAGCAGCTTTAAAGACCCCTGCGCCCTTTCAGAGCGCCGGGCCCTGGGGTTTGTGACCAGAGCGTGCAGTGGCCGTGGGTGCTGGTGGTGAGAAGTGGACCCTCCCTATGCGTGCAAATACCCGTATCACTGAGACAAAGGGTGCAAGTTGCTTGCTGCGGGGTCTGCCAGGGGCCCCTGCCATGCCAGCTGGGGAAACCCCACATCCCAGGAATCAGGGGCCCTCTGAAAGATCCTTTCTCCCAGTCCTCGGAGGGTCAGACCAGGGTGCCATGTCACCCTCCTCCTGTCCCAAGTCCTGTTCCCTGAGTCCTGAGCAGGGCACAGGTGCCGCTGGGTGCCCTGCCTGTGGGATTCGCTGCTCATCTGCCCGCAGTGAAGAGGTGTTAATTTGTAGCTACCGCATTAAGATAATTGCTGCGAGGGTCTATTTGTGTAATGTGCAAATATATTTTTACAGCAACAAACCATTTTGCTATGAATTATAAATAGAGCAGTTGGGTGATTTGAAACCTGTTTTGCATAGCGTGTGCCGTGCGGGCTGCGATGCTCAGCTCCGGTGGAGGCCTGCGGTCAGCCCCCCATGCAGGTCCCCAATGCTGTGTCAGATGGGGGGTTGGCCTGGCCAGGAGACCAAGTAAGGCAATGGGGGGGGGTGAGGCAGGTTGGGGGGCAGAGCTTCCGCCCAGGAAAAGGTTCACTTGCAGTGTGCGGCCCTTGTCACCAGGCTCCCAGGGCGAGGGCCCGTCTGGGCTCTCAGGAGCTGTGTGGGCAACGTCCTCGGGAAACCTTGAGCTGCCGGAGACCGACAGAAACATTAGCCAGAGGACGGCAAGATAAGAGTCTGCTCCTCCCTGGCCGAGAGCGGCTGGAATCGGACCTCGGGTGCCAGAAGTGCGGGTAGGAAGGGAGACTCCCGAGGGGAGGTCAGTAGGATGCAGAGTGGGCCTGCAGGTGAGGGCTGTGGGGTGATAAAAAATTTACATTTGGGAGCCGGGCTGTCTGCGGGTCAGCGGTAGAGCACTTGTCTAACGTGCGCAAGGTCCTGGGTTCCAGCCCCAGCATCACAAATA